AGATGACAAGTACTTGTTGCCGTCTGTCACGACTGCTGGTCACAAAATTAAAGAAGTCTAGGTGGCATTTTAAGCAAGATCTGGATTTTAGAAATCTATGTTGGTTTGGACTGTTAATGTTGCAGCTAAGCATATGCTTGATTAGGTTATCTTTAACTAGTCTCTCCATAATTCTAGATGCTATAGGTGTGATATTGATCGACCTGTAGTTACTGACTTCGGTTCTCGAGCCAGATTTGTACCTAGGCATAACAATTTTTCTTTTCCACTAAGATTGAGAGGGGACTTATATCGTGACAGAATATTAAGTCCAGTATGTTGTCACCTCTTGTTGGGATAGTGACAGTTTGTTTCCAGCCGAAAATGTCCAGTGTACCTAAGAGCTTGTCATATTTAGTTGGCCCTGTTAATAAATCCCAGTTGATTTCGGGTAGGTTGAAGTCTCCACATATGATCTTATGCTCGTATGGAAGAGTGAATACTTGCTCCAGTACATTTATAAGTTGTGTCTCGTAATCACTAAAGGTGCCAGGTGCTCTGTAGATACATCCTATTAGTAGTGTAGCACTTTTGAAGTGTACGTTGACCCATAGGGTGTCGTGCATGTCATTGAGTTCCCTATTTTCTAGCTGTAATACAGCAAGTGTGTTCAGGAAGTACATTAGGCAGCCTCCTCCCTTACCACTCTTCCTGTCACAACGAAAGTGTGTGTACCCATCGATGCTTATCTCTTCGTTTGGTATATTGGAGTGAAACCAGGATTCGGTAATAATAATTATTGGGGGTTTGTATACCAGCGTGTGTGCCCTGAGCATCGGTAGTTTGTTAGGGATAGATCTAGCATTAATAAGTATTAGGTAGAGTTGAGATTTGAAGTGGTGTTTGAAGTATTTAAGCTCGTCTATAAGGTTCAAGTGTTGATCGGCATCCACTGTTTCCGCGTGGCATAACAATTGCGTGAGTCTGCAGCTGAATTTTGATGGATTATCACCGTTTAACAATGGTACACAGCAAGTTTGGCCGATATTGTGTAGACTGGTGAAACCCTTTCTCAGTGATATATTCCTTATTGGAGTTTATGGTGGCTTTCATAAACCATCCGACTTCAATAAGTTTTTAATGCCAGTTGTAACTGACATGGAGCATTTATATGCACATGGTATGCAAATCAATGATAGGCACATCGGCTTCCGGCTTAACAATGTCACCTGCGATAAGCCTGCAAGATCTGATGTCACTTTTACAGCAAATCACAACAGTCGGAAAGAGTGTGATAGATGTTGCGTTACTGGAATCCATGTTAACCGGCGCATGGTATTCAGTGATGTTAACAGCTGTCGCAGGACAGATAATAGCTTTAGGAGTAAGGATGATGCCAATTACCACCGTGACACATCCGTATTTGATAGACTGCCAATTGATATGGTTAGTGGTTTTCCATTAGATTACATGCATTTAGTCTGCTTAGGTGTTGTAAGACGGCAATTGGGTATATGGTTGCGTCTGTATCGCCTGACAGATTCGTAGTAGTAAATGATGTACCTGGGATTATCTGCGCTGTGGGTGAAGGTAATGCATTTAAATTCAGACCTTGTTTGGATAAGAAGCCATTTTTTTAATAAGCCTTTCGATTCAACGAAGCTTGATATATACAAATCCGGCCAGTTCTCAGGCGACACTGAATGGGTTGCAACTAATACAATTAAATATAAATGTGTTGCAATACCCACAAATCTCTTCAACGGTTTCATCCCAATGCCTCACACATCGGCCAGATAAGTTGTTATTCGTGTTGTTTCATTGGCGTCAGTTGCAGTTAATGCGAGTCATAGGTAAGAGCCGACATAATCGATAAAGTGGGTTGGGTTTGCTAGCATACCAGTTTGAGTTTACACTCCTCTTACTTTTAAGTGGGGCATTTTTATGGTAATTTCTTCTTCATTCACTAATGTAACGTTCCTTTCAGAATAAATGGGCAAATACCGTATTTATATCAAATGGATGGGAAAGTTCCAGAACAATTTCTGGTTAGGGGTTGAATTAATAAAAATTACAATCAGGAATTAGAATGCCATAATAAACAGGGGGATGGGTAAAACTCAAACAAAGTAGCATAATAACTAAGAAAATTGACATTGTGCAATTGGGGGTTAGAAATGTAAAAATAACAAAATATACAGGATGTTTGGATAAGAAACTAGTGTGATGAATAATTGTTTATGCAATCAGGGATTAAATATGTAGAAATAATAAAATGACAAAATAAACAGGAAGTGTTGATATGAAAATATGGTAGTGTAGACAGGGATTAAGAAAACTTAAAATAACATGAATAAACAGGAAGTTTAGATAAGAAAGGCGATGGGATGGACATTATTAAAAAATTTACCTGTTTACGATGGCCATGGCAGGGACAGGGGTTGAATGTAATTCTTTTGAATACATAGGGTGGGTTTGAGTTTTTGGATAGCTAACGCCTCAGATATGCCCAAATGTCTTGATTTCACTCCCTTTGATAGGTTTGATTGAATCTTGTATATTACTTTGAAGGACTTTTCGAAAGGCGCTGAATGTCCTGAGTTGACCAGATGTTCTGTCACTGAACTGTTTACACGTTTTTTCTCTCCTTTTACCAGCCAGGCTGGGTAGTGTTCACGAGCGCGTTTTCCAAGTTGGCGCATGGTACGGCCGATGTACTCAGCTCACCAAGAGCAAGTGAACTGGTATATGCATGTTGAGGTGGCCCAATGCGACAGCTTGTCTTTCGCGTTCTGGTTGAACAGTTTCTTGCAGGAAAACGTCAGTCGTAGGCTTGCGGCGAAGTATGTTTTCCTCAGCGATTTGGAGAGGCGTTTGCGAAGGATTTCTGCTTCGATATCACCTTTGAATTCTAGATTAAGCAGAAGTATTTTCTTTGGGACGGATTGGACTTGTTCTGAAGTCTTCTTCGGTTTGAGATGATGACTTCGTCGAAAAGAAAATTTTCTTCGCTGCAACTGTCTTTTTATTCCCTATGATCAAATGTGTATATTCCGTGATTTGAAATACCGTATTGCATTGATTGATGGAAGAAATGAGGCGGTGATATGCCGGAGCTCTTGGTTTCTTGGACTTAAGCTTGTCGTTTGCAGCCAAGAAAATTGGGATACTGCCTATGAGGAGGAGTACCCAAAGGTTGATTGGAAGATGGAGCAGTGTGAGGTTATTTGTGAAACAGGTTAGCCGTTTCGTTACTCAACTATTTCTCCAGATGACTTGCAAGAAGCGCTTGCAAAGCACAAGGCCTTACAAAGAACATACGCCATTACCAGTTGCAGTCAGTCGTAGAGATCTACTGCAGTTTGCACACAGAAGCGTCAAATAATGTAAGCATCATTTGATACTTGACTCAATAATTAGTGCACCGAAAAATGACATTTTTGTCAGTGAAGACTACCCATCTGATCTGATGGACAAGCAGTGTAATGTTTTCGAGGACCCCGATTACGCAGACCTTGATAGTACTGCACCTGCTTCGAAAAAGAACACCAGGTATGACAGATATTCAACCTAACATTATAATGATGTAGTTTCGGATTCATGTCAAAGAGTACTTCACATATGGTTGCTGCTACAAGTACACCTGTTATGTTAGTGACACCAAACTTAACAGCCATTCTTTCTCAGGTCACCCAAGGATAATAAGGGTCTCCAGGAAGTGAAAGATGCTATTAATAAACTAACAGTTTGCGTTGAAACATTACGTAGATCGCACGCGAGATTAATTAAGCGTGTCGACCTCACGTTGGCCGCTAGCAATGACGGCACAACTGATGACGGTGAATACGATGTCAAGCTGCCGGTTAAATCGTTTGCTATGCTTGAAATTTTCGAACGTAAACTGAAAAACCGAAAGTATTTTGAGGAAATAGTAAGTAATTTCAACCAAATTTGTTTAGTTGATTCGTTTCAGATATGCCAACTGTCATTTAAGGTGCAGAATAACATAACCGCATCTACGCGCCGATTGCTGAGTGCAGTCATCAATAAAAGCTTAGCAAGATTAATGACTTATAAGGGTACAGCGGAAAAGACTGGTGTCCGAGATTTCACATTTTTCCAGCTTATAATTGGTATGTTGACTTTTTGGAACCAGGACATTTTATACTTCAATAAAATTCAGATGTCATCACTCGTAAGCAATTACAACTTGGTTCCACCGAGGAGGACACAATCGAATCGATAGTCAAAGCCACCAAAAATTGGTGCCATGATCAACGGATTATTCGGAAAAAATTGGATTTATCACCAGAAGAGGTAGTTTTTAAGCAAAGAGTATTCCCCGTTTTTATGCACTTAATGGTTATTGACGCGTATTAAACTGCTTCCCTATTTCCTTCATTACAGATGTGTGCCGACGTCATTCAACTTGGGCCTAGCAAATCAATGTCCTCAGAATAATTTAGGAGGTCATTTTCTGTAATCTGTCATCCGCTTATTTTTTTAAACCAACATTTTACTGTATAAAATTCCTTAACTCCGTTGGCCTTGTTTTATGTCAGTGGCATAAGCATTGAATGACGTGAAATCATTCGTAAGGCAGTAGTCGCTGAGCCCATTTCTGTGGTAAATTCGATAGCAGTAGTAACTACAAAGAACGACAATGTGTAAGCAGTTCCTTAGACAACAGGTAGGACTAATACGCTAATTAAATGTAATAATACGTGCAGTTGAATGGGAAAAATGAGGACCTTTCCTCGTCACGAAAATAACAGTAGTGGGTGAACAGGTTGTTGAAAAAGTGGGCTAACGGGGAAAAAGTGGGTATATTTTGAATTTCTGCACATGGGATAAGTGGGTGCGAACGTGGGTCACGTGAGTAAACGGGGAAAAAGTGGGCAATATAGGCGAAGTGGGTAAAATTGGTTGCATTTACACCATCTTTAGCCCACCTGTTTTCCGATCAAAATTACCCATTTATCCCACGTCTTGCCCACATAGCCCAGGTGCATTAACCAATATAATATCTTCAAATACCATAAAAAGGCATTATCGAAGAATAGGTTAGAATAAGTTTAAAATTGTTGTAAGCTTGGGTTGAGTCGGGGAGCTGGTTATTGTTATCAATTTTTCTTATTTAAGTTTTATTTTTCTTTGATCTCATTTGGAAAAAAGTGCACAATCTCTGTTGACATTTCCGTTAAACACTATCGACGAAGTAGCATCCATATATGACTGCTTACTTTGGATGTTACGGTTACAGTAAGTCTGAGATATTTCCAGTCTTTTGAACTCACCGATCAGTAACCACCGGTCATGTGGCGTCCTATCAATCCCTTAGTATTGTACAACTAATGGTTGATTATATTGAAAGCGAATACTTTGAGTATGTCTTGTTTATTTATTTATGCCTTAGGGGCTGATGAAATGGGAGTTTAAAGGCACATACAATGCAGATGTTTTAAAAATTAAAAAGTAGATAGATAGACGTGAAGCGACGCTACCCAATCAAGTAGTAGGTTATCTATAACCATTGTATTCCGTAGATATTTGTTCACATTATTTATGACTATGACTATTGGGTCACTGATACAATATTTCACAAATAACAGAATATAATGGCGAATAGAACTTGGTGCAATCATTTACTTAATACTTTAGGAGAATAATAATTTCCGTTTAATTGTATTAACTAGAAGTAATGCTATGTAGTGCTTTTAAAATAATATTACTGTCAGTTGCTTGGTTTTTTAGCCCTAAACATTATACAGTTGAATTATTTGATACTCGACATGTAAAGGAGGTATTCATTCATATTCCAATACTAATTAATATCTAATGGTTGGTAGTTAAGAAAGATACTTCCATTTTTGTTTCCAGTATGGATGGTGATAATATTGATGATGATGATGCACCAGTAGAAACATCATTCAAACAATTTAAAAAGAAGACGTTATACCTGTCAGAAAATCTCAAAAGTGTGTATCAGGATGGCATTCAATCTCTGAAAAGTAAACAGAAACGAAGGAATGATCCAAGATTTGATCCTAGAGTTAATGGTATTTGTTATCTTAATGATTGGGAATTTTTGGAAGATGAAAGAAAACAAACACTAACAGTATGTTACACACTTTAATTTGTTTGAAATATTTGTATTTAACAACTATTTCCTAAAAATAATTTCTTACCAAAAAGGTTTTAGTGGAAGTATACTGCAACTAATATTAGTAGCACAGACAAAGCGAAGAGAAAAAGACTAAGAACAGTCGTCTCATTTTTAGGATGGATTTATGTTTCTGCTTGTAGCGAAAACTAATTTGAAACCGATAGACTCCTCAGGAAGTTGTACCAACTGGAAAATCAATAGAAATCAGTCAGGATTAAACGTCTCTTGCCTACTTGCTACTTCAAAATGGGCTACCAATTCTTATGACGAACATGTTGCTGGATGGAAATTTGCCTAATTTTGTTGTTTCATTTACTTGCTTTATTGGTATTTAATCACTAATTCACCCTGATATTTAATATTAATTTAAGTGTAGAAATTGGGTGCTGTGACAAAATGTAATTCCATATTAGATAAGTTTATTTGAAATGACGCACAGTGATGCAGTATTAATAACTGAACGTTTCGAACATAAATTATCGCTCACAATCATATCAGTTTAGTCACACGACTTCACAATTTGTCTTATATATATCCTTCTTTCTGTTGTTGTTTGTTGCCACTTTCCACATCTCCGGTATAGGCGTTGCGTCGTTTTGACTGCACGTGTGTAGTGTTGAACTGATAGGGTTTCGGTGATTGAACCCTCTCCATCTGTGTTACTTTGCAGGATTTTCACACTGTTCCATCTTATTGTGTGGTTACATACAAGTGAATGCAATGCAATGACCAATTTTTTCCCAGGTTAACTTAGCCGAGTCTAACTAAATTTTTAAGTTCCAACAATCTAATTGATCCTGATCTACTAGTTTGACCTATGTAATTGACCTTACAGCCATTACATTCCTTCTCTTAACGGAAGGACTACAGAGGCTTTGAATTCTATATTGTAGCGTACAGTCCATCTACAACCAAGCTATCACGCTGTTCAGAAAGAATATTGAAACGCCGTTCGCCTTCCGATCATCCTGGGACTAAATACTATCTTCCTCGCAGAGGTTTCTTTTTCTCTTCACCTTTTTTATCTCAGTAGAAGCAGTGATAGTCACCCTTGCAATTTATCCTCTTCATTTTCGCAACCTCCAGACTATTGGATTTCCCATATATGTACATATATGCATGTCTAACATTACCGACATTCTTTTCTCATTATATAACGCCATTCATTTCACGTATTTATTACTTTATGAAGAACTATTCACTTAAGTTTTACTATTCGTTTAGTGCATACTAATTTTGCACTGGTAATGCACCAAACATATTCTACACCTTTCAACTGACTTATCGACTTTTCTTCCCCAGATTGTATGGATTTATTATGACTTATTATCAGCATCGATTCCACACTGTTTTGTAATTGCATGTGACTTATTGAATTTTTCATACAAGTGCTATTTACTTTGTCACCTTGCAACTTGAAACTATTTTGATTTCAGATCCGTAATCATATTCTACGTTGGATTGTGTCCACTGCATACCTGCGTATGTCCAAGTTAAACTTTAAGCACCGGTAAGCACCGATGGAGTGCGACCGCACCAAAGAATTTGAAGCACGCAGTGAGAAACTTAGTGAAAAGATGTAAATAATATCGTAATCATGGATAAAATACGCCTAATGAAGTGTTATTTTATCAAATGGGATATCTGGCGAGTTTCAGCTTAGATTTGGGAAATATTATATTGAGTTTTAGGCTAAGGACGGGTTAGGTTAACCTAATAAGGGCGAAATTAGAGTTGATTCGAGTTAGATTAGGGTTAGTTTAGGGGTTTTTCACTCTACGGTTAGTCTATGGAAAGATTAGGGTTATTGTTAGGTTTAGAAGACCTAGATAAAACATGCATAGAATGTGATTAAATTACTCTGTTGAAACTCCAGTTCAAAAATAAGAGGTATTTTTGTCACACGTCAGGGAAAGGTATCCTGCATAACAGTTTCATGATTTTTAATATTCATTATTTTCATGAATATATGTATTTTTACGCAAAAATCGTCTATATCATGTGGTTGGTGCATTCAAGGTAATTTTTCCGTTTGTACTTACTAGTGCCTAAAGTTTATCTTCGCCCAGCGTATTACTATAGTGATAAAATTTATAGCTCAGAAACTGAAGAGAATTTACTGAAATATTCTTCTTTGAGATAGACTTATTTTTCGTTGCGACGGAATAAAATTAAGAGGTCTTCAGTCATAAAATTGAAATCGCAGTTCACTTGTCTATTATGGACGGTAACTTTGTTGTCTTTAGAGCCATCCTATTCCAACACAGAAGATGTATACCTTAAAGTTGGTGCAATAGATTATTGCTGCAAATGGGTAGCAGCTACTGAATTTCAAATATTTTTCTACAAAGACCTGGAATTAACCAAACTGGATACATCATTCAGCAGCCATAATTGTATAAGAAGGCTATTGTTAAGTAAATGAACTTAAAATGATTTTTCTATTCATAGTTCCTATTACGTCATCTACGTATTATGAATCACTTGTCAGTTAACACCTTAGATATTGATTTGTCCATATAAGCAAATATTCAGTAAATCTGTGGTTTCAGTTATCTTTTTGACCATTTATCTGTTCACCTTGAAGACATTTGCATTCTTGTTAACTCTGTGTTAAGAGTTTGTCAATTAGCACCAAATCCCGTTACTTTCTTGTTGATTATCATTATTAGAGTCTAACTAGTAGGGTTAGTAGGCGGTTTATTTCATAAGTTCAGTAGAATTGTGTATAGTTTTCATCTGACCTCAGAAACGTGGCTAGCTGTTTCATTACTGTTGACGTACTTGAGGCAGTGGTGTGTTAAGTTTTTCTTTAGAGATGTTGGCTTGTATATTTGTTTTATGTTTTGTATATTTTAATTTCTCGACGGTCTATGAAAGCCTTCTAAGAGTACCACCTATCGAGTATCCAGAGATAACAAGTATTTTTGTGTATTTCAAGAGTTAACATACGGTTTTCGGTCAAGGTGAACAGTGTCGTATTGTTCCACTTTTTAGTGTTCATTTATGCGAGATACAGAACGAACATATGTGGAGTTATTATTTAACGTGAAATTGTTTTTCTCTCTATACAAGACAGTTAAGAAGTATTGTGCAGATGTTTCGTCTGTCTGTTTAATAAGAAACGATATTTTAAGGAATATAAAATCCAAGGTCTTTAAATCCTTACTTTTGTTATTGAACTGCATTGACCAACCTTTGGTTATTATTTCTAACCTCACCTGTCTGATAATATATCCTATCATATGTTACTGCTAAAGTAAACATTTAGTTAACCTTGGACTCAAAATATTGTGATTTAACTAGAAAAACATAAGCAGTTGCTTATCAAAGGTGCATTGAAGTGTGGCATTTGCCAACCTACACCGTCTCTGGCATAGACTACCGATCAAGGCACGTGCGTAGTGCGCAGCAGTTCTCTCCATCCTCCTTTATGCCTGTGAGACACGACCAGTGAAAGTGGAAGAAAGGAAAAGGCTAGCTGTCTTTGCTCACAGGTGTCTGTATTCTATCCCCCATGTTAGGTTTGTTTAAGAATGAATAAGACGGAGGGACTTTTTCCTTCAAGTATAATCATATTATAAGAGTAAATTGCAATTTGAATAACTGACGTAAAATTCGGTGAAATATTTATCTTCTTTTTCTTATCAACACTGTGCTGCATTTGTTTATTTATGTTAATTAGAAGCTTAGAAAAATGCTACGTGAAAGTGTGGATGATAATGAACGCAAAGAGATAATGGAGGCATTACGTTTAGTGAAGCAGCGTATAGCAACAGAAAAAGACAGAAAGTTTCGTAAAGACTTTATGGATAAAATTCAGAAAGAACAAATTGAAAATTTGGAGGCTGGGAAATCTGTGCGTTTTATTCCTCGAGGTAAGCAAAAGTATACTACCTGTACAATTTTTTTATATTCATCAGCATTAATGCAGTAAGTTCTCGAGCTGTCAACTCAGTGGTGACGAAAAGTAAATTATACTCGTGTATTTGTAATTTACGTTGAAACAGACTGAAACATATTAAAGTCACACCCATATTTTAAGTGATAGTATTGTTAATTTTAGTGAAAACAACATTTATACAAAATTCTAATGACAACTTATAATAATATTTAGTTGAGATTTTCATTGGTATACGAGAAGTAAAAGGAGAATGCATTTTTGTTCTCAAAATTAGAAGTGATAGCTTGCATTATGTCTGATAATCTTTTGTGGTTTCTAAAATGCAAACGCTGTTTTACAAAATATATGGTTAGGAAAATAATCTGGGAAGAGTTCTGTGCATTAATCTTTAAGACACTCTGGCAGCGGCTTGCATTAGTGTCGTCCATATTTGGATTTGATCAAGTTGATTTATTTGTATCGTGATTATTATTTATATTACTATGATGACTGGAATCTGAAATGTATTTCTTTACACTCGTGAGTGTTTTCCACTAGATTAATGTTTAATATTAGAACAAGACATATAAGCGAACAATATTGTTTTCAATTAGATCTTCTTCAGGCTTTACTCTAATTTACATAGATTTATATATAAAATTTTAACCAATGACGGTGATTTTGGGAATCAAATAATAATAATAATAATAATAATAATAATAATAATGTGGTAAATGTTTTGAACGTAGTTAATAACGATGATTATAATGATAACAAAATATTGATAATAAGGTTTATGCAGGTGATAAGAATAACAAAGATAGTATATGTATATAAGTGTATAAATAAATTGGGTCAAATCTTAAAAGGTGAAGTGGAACGATAATCAGAGTTTAAATAAATATTATAAAAGTACGAAGGAGATGGAAAATAAGAAAGGGTGGGAGGGTTTTGAATACAATTCACCTAGGCCAAGGGAGAGACAAAGGTAGAACAAACTTCTTTTGTATGCAAAGACTAGGATTGTTCTCTCGAATTCCCATAGCTTCGGCTAGGTGTAAAAGACGGGTTCTGATTCCATTCGAAAGACTCGATGGAATACGATAGATAACTTTGAAAGCACTATTTTTGTCCACTTGGTGACCGCTATCAATCAAATGAGCCAAAATAGAACTTCGTATGGATTTTATTTGACCTTTTCCGAACCATGAAGGAAGATGCTCATTAATGCGTTTGTTAAGTTGTCTAGTTGTTCGCCCTATATAGCTTTCTCCACAGGAGCAACTAAATTTATAGATACACATCGAAGTGGCACAACTAGGTAGCTTATCTTTCACTTGAGCAATCAAAATTGGTCGGCTGGAAAATGACAAACAAAGGGTGGCGGCAGTATAAGTCCGTTTTATCGCTCTCGATAATCTCAGATGTAAGACTTCACTAGCCACGTCCCCATTAAATTGAAGTTTCATGAACAGTTCTTTCTTTTTAACTGTTGTCAGTTTTTCTTTGTTGTACCTGGTATTCATGTGTCTCCTAACAAATCTACTAGGATAACCCATTTGGACCAGCGTATTTTGGATATATCCTAGCTCATTTTCTAGGGAGTCATCTGTACAAATACGTCTTGCTCTATTCGTAAGGCATCTGACCAAATTGATTTTATATCGGATTGGTACAAAACTGAGGAAATGTGTATATTGTCCTACAGATGTAGGTTTTCTATAGACATCTCTCTTGAGTGAACCATCCTCTCTTCTGCTCAATTGGACGTCAAGGAAATGTAATCCACCATCATGTTCTTCTTCACAAGTGAAGATGAGCGATGGATGTGCATCACTAAACTTTTTTAACATTTCATTCTTGTCAGTTTTCACATCAAGAATAATGAACGTATCATCAACATAACGAAAATAAGAATCAATTTTCTCTATTACTTGTCTTAATGGACCATTTTCAATCTTGGCTAGAAAGAAATCTGCCAAAATTGGCCCCAATGGAGAACCCATGGCAATACCGTCGATTTGCCTGTAGTAAAGGTTGTTGAATATGAAATGTACATCCATAGTACATCTTAAAAGCAACTCTTTCAGACTAATAACTGGAATCCCGATGTCAATCTGCTTTTCTAGTATGAATTCCACAGTCTCCATAAGTGGTACATTGGTAAACAGTGACGCTACATCTAAGGAAAGCATTTGCTTCCCATTTACATTGATATCATTCACGTTAGCAATAAATTCAAAAACGTCTTTAACACTATGGTTTACTACCAACTTGTGTAGCGGTTGGAGGAGTTCACCTAGCCACTTTGCCACCCCATGGTAGGTAGAATTTGACATATCCAGGACTGGGCGAAGAGGAAGTCCTGGTTTATGTACTTTGGGCAGACCGTACAGACGTGAAGTATTACTTCCAGTAGGTTTAAGACGGTTATAAGCTGCCTCTGAGATTACTCCACTTTTACTCAGTTCCTTAAGCGTGTTAGTTAACTGCTTTTCCGCCTTTCCGTCCAGATCTATTGGGTTGATAAGCTTTTGGAACTTCGTTTCATCCGTTAAAAGCGAGTTCATTTTGTCAACATAATCACACTTATTCATCAGTACTACTCCGGCTCCTTTATCAGGTCTACTGATTATAATGTTTTCGTCGTTCCTTAACTTTCTTAGGGCTTCTCTATGCTGTTTAGTCAGCAAACTCTTACTAGAATGACTACTGTTTTTATACTGTTGACAACTGTCGACTAGTGTAGTTTTAAACCTAGCGACTTAATCGTCTGACGTTGGGGTCAAATCTTTTGTTTGTAGGAGGAGGTTTTCAAACTGGATATTGGTATCGAGTTGGTTGACCTTATATCCTTGGTCACTCATCAACAGAGCAGAGAAAAGGAGAACGAAACTTATCAAATCATTAGACAGTCAAAATCCTGAAAAAGATTTCCCTTCAGACCCTTATCGGTACGTCCATAATTTTTCAAGTGTAACACTAGATAAATTACAGTTAGAAGCTCTATCTTTGGGTCTTAGATTTTGTGACCAAGGATATAAGGTCAACCAACTCGATACCAACATCCAGTTTGAAAACCTCCTCCTACAAACAAAAGATTTGACCCCAACGTCAGACGATGAAGTCGCTAGGTTTAAAACTACACTAGTCGACAGTATAAAAACAGTAGTCATTCTAGTAAGAGTTTGCTGACTAAACAGCATAGAGAAGCCCTAAGAAAGTTAAGGAACGACGAAAACATTATAATCAGTAGACCTGATAAAGGAGCCGGAGTAGTACTGATGAATAAGTGTGATTATGTCGACAAAATGAACTCGCTTTTAACGGATGAAACGAAGTTCCAAAAGCTTATCAACCCAATAGATCTGGACGGAAAGGCGGAAAAGCAGTTAACTAACACGCTTAAGGAACTGAGTAAAAGTGGAGTAATCTCAGAGGCAGCTTATAACCGTCTTAAACCTACTGGAAGTAATACTTCACGTCTGTACGGTCTGCCCAAAGTACATAAACCAGGACTTCCTCTTCGCCCAGTCCTGGATATGTCAAATTCTACCTACCATGGAGTGGCAAAGTGGCTAGGTGAACTCCTCCAACCGCTACACAAGTTGGTAGTAAACCATAGTGTTAAAGACGTTTTTGAATTTATTGCTAACGTGAATGATATCAATGTAAATGGGAAGCAAATGCTTTCCTTAGATGTAGCGTCACTGTTTACCAATGTACCACTTATGGAGACTGTGGAATTCATATGCCAACAGATACTAGAAAAGCAGATTGACATCGGGATTCCAGTTATTAGTCTGAAAGAGTTGCTTTTAAGATGTACTATGAATGTACATTTCATATTCAACAACCTTTACTACAGGCAAATCGACGGTATTGCCATGGGTTCTCCATTGGGGCCAATTTTGGCAGATTTCTTTCTAGCCAAGATTGAAAATGGTCCATTGAGACAAGTAATAGAGAAAACTGATTCTTATTTTCGTTATGTTGATGATACGTTCATTATTCTTGATGTGAAAACTGACAAGAATGAAATGTTAAAAAAGTTTAATGATGCACATCCATCGCTCATCTTCACTTGTGAAGAAGAACATGATGGTGGATTACATTTCCTTGACGTCCAATTGAGCAGAAGAGAGGATGGTTCACTCAAGAGAGATGTCTATAGAAAACCTACATCTGTAGGACAATATACACATTTCCTCAGTTTTGTACCAATCCGATATAAAATCAATTTGGTCAGATGCCTTACGAATAGAGCAAGACGTATTTGTACAGATGACTCCCTAGAAAATGAGCTAGGATATATCCAAAATACGCTGGTCCAAATGGGTTATCCTAGTAGATTTGTTAGGAGACACATGAATACCAGGTACAACAAAGAAAAACTGACAACAGTTAAAAAGAAAGAACTGTTCATGAAACTTCAATTTAATGGGGACGTGGCTAGTGAAGTCTTACATCTGAGATTATCGAGAGCGATAAAACGGACTTATACTGCCGCCACCCTTTGTTTGTCATTTTCCAGCCGACCAATTTTGATTGCTCAAGTGAAAGATAAGCTACCTAGTTGTGCCACTTCGATGTGTATCTATAAATTTAGTTGCTCCTGTGGAGAAAGCTATATAGGGCGAACAACTAGACAACTTAACAAACGCATTAATGAGCATCTTCCTTCATGGTTCGGAAAAGGTCAAATAAAATCCATACGAAGTTCTATTTTGGCTCATTTGATTGATAGCGGTCACCAAGTGGACAAAAATAGTGCTTTCAAAGTTATCTATCGTATTCCATCGAGTCTTTCGAATGGAATCAGAACCCGTCTTTTACACCTAGCCGAAGCTATGGGAATTCGAGAGAACAATCCTAGTCTTTGCATACAAAAGAAGTTTGTTCTACCTTTGTCTCTCCCTTGGCCTAGGTGAATTGTATTCAAAACCCTCCCACCCTTTCTTATTTTCCATCTCCTTCGTACTTTTATAATATTTATTTAAACTCTGATTATCGTTCCACTTCACCTTTTAAGATTTGACCCAATTTATTTATACACTTATATACATATACTATCTTTGTTATTCTTATCACCTGCATAAACCTTATTATCAATATTTTGTTATCATTATAATCATCGTTATTAATTTCGTTCAAAACATTTACCACATTATTATTATTAAAGATTATTATTTGATTCCCAAAATCACCGTCATTGGTTAAAATTTTATATATAAATCTATGTAAATTAGAGTAAAGCCTGAAGAAGATCTAATTGAAAACAATATTGTTCGCTTATATGTCTTGTTCTAATGTTTAATAATTGTCATTTCTTTTATTATGGGTATTCATTGTTTAATACTTTCTAAGATTTTTGATTGACATCACTACACACCAAGTAATCAATGCAACCATTTATGTTAACTATGACTAATTTTCAGTTTTAATCAGAATTTATGGGATAAACGTGTTATGCAGATAAAGTTTTGGTTTTCAGAGCCATCAAAGGTGCGTAGAGATAATCAGGAAGATATGGGGAATTTATCCTCTTCATTCCTAGTATGGTTTTCACTGCTGATTCATAATGAAATTGTTGTTAGTTCAAATTCACTGTAATAAAATTTATTGAAAAAAAGCCTGCCTTTATCAGGTGTGATTCTCTTTTTTCTGCTTCCATGCTTAGTTTGATAATAATTCGTCCTCTAAACAGCTTGTCTTGCCACACAATTCCTAACCTTACTATTGTATTCCTTCACGTTCCCAGTGGAACATAGGGCTTCAAGCTGTAGCTTTGAATTTTCGGTAGCCCTGGTATTTATTTTTACAGGATGAAGTTGCTAGCCTCATGGCCAACCTTCCCTCTTTACCAGTCTTATTACTGGCTTAGCGAGGTAAAGGAGTGCGTCAGCCTAGGATCGAACCTGAACCACCTGCGTGGTTGGCGAGCATTCTACCGCTGTGCCACCGACGACACTCCTAATCTTAGAAGTTATTAAAAAGATCCAATGTGTAAATTCCTAATCTATAACTACTCACTTCTAATGTTTATTATATTTCGATCAACAGTTAAATGTAAAATTACTTGAATGCATTCTTGAAAGAAATTATATTTAATTGCTATTGTGCAACTAAAGGAAATGATATTGCCGAGAAGAGCATCTTCACTGAATCATGTGTTTTCCTTACTTTTACACGTCTTATTGAGGATGTTTTATGAAATCGACAATTATAATCATTGATCATCTTGCCAATATCATCATTCGTTTAGTACTTTTTCTGTCAATAAGCTGTGCAACTGATTGTTAATTATTCTATTCCAAACGACTAGGGACCACTTGTCATGAAGACTATTCTTTGTTGATATGATCTTGAAACTGTTTTTATGCAAGCAGTAAACTTTCAATCTATCTATGTTGCATGGGAGTGTAATAGTTGTAGCTGATAGCAGGATATACAGATAAGTTCTTGATGGTGTAATCTTGTTACCTCTTTTCACTTTTTATGTCACTGATCCGGACGTATTGTTTTTAATCTGTTTATAAGTAGTCTAGAAACGTTATCAACCCCTTGCAATAGATCCAGGCTGGTTAAGTTCTCCTTGACAATTCATTCAAATTTGTTTCGTTGTGATGAGAAATACATTGAACGTCTTAATTACCTTGTTATTGTTGCAATTTCTATTCTGTGTTCAACTTCTTTTTTTTAGCTGAACTTCGTGAACGCGTGAAGAAAGAACGCCTAGAACGAATGAGTAAACGTCAAAGAGAGCGGTATTTAAATAGAAAAAAGAGAAGATTTAATTCCAGTAATACGTAGATGTGACTGAATTCGCAACACATTAATTTGTAAAATAACGAATTTTTTTGTACTGTTTTCTGTATGATTTGAGAGAAAAAGTTATTGTGTTCTGTTAAATTTGTACTTTCTTGATCCTTTTGGTTCACCTTTGTATTGCTGTATATAATACACTGAGTATTTTCCACAAATTTTTGATTGAGTATTTTGAATTGGTAATTTGAGTCAAGTGAAGAGCATATTTGGCCTGATTATTTCGTCAGTTCATGACAATTCTGAGGTGAATACACAAAATTTAGTTATCAAACAAAGGTTCCTTGTTGTTCGGACAATACTGTCAAGAAGTGTGCTCTGACGTTAGAGATCAGGTCCACTTGTAGCTAATTATGTCGAGACTAAACATTATCATTAAACCAAATTTTTACCTTACTTCAAGTGTAGGCACTGATTAGTAACTGTCAGTTAGTAGAAATAGGACAAAGGTGTGAAATATGCCGTCCGGTATAACTATCAGCAAGATAAATGACATAGTAGATGCTTGACTTCGTCTGCTACTGGAAACTCGTGAGGTCAGAGTAAACTCTACTCACAGAAGACAACCAAATGCACATCATATGGACTGGAGCCATTTACTTAAAAGCGGTGTGCATCCTTAATTCGATCTGCACAAGTGTTTAAGTATAAAATTGTCGTTCTAGAAAGATAGACTTCGGCGGATGGAACGCATATCGACTGTGACTTCACAGACAATTTCATGAGTGATAAATCCAGTCTCTTTTCTATGTATCATAGTGATGACGCGATAACCTCACGACAAAAGTGTAAAATGTCATTGATGAAATTCCATCCTTTCTAGACGAGTAGAATGTCTCAGGAGCTGGCAAAATCTCAGCCGGCCACAAATAAGTAGGATTTACTAGTATTATGTTATAATCCAAATGTCTTACTTCATCATTGCATCTGCAGATGATGCTTGACTGCATACCTTCAACTTAAAAAGTGAAAGTCAGCATTGAATGTCATGTGATGAAAGCTATAGGTCAGTAATTTTGGGTAGTTATCTACCATTATTTTTATCATTATTCCCTTGCGTTCCGAGTGGAACATAGGGCTTCAACAACACATCTCCACTTTGTTCTGTTTTCTATCGTCTTCTTCAGCTGAGTCCACGATTGACCACTCTCATCTTTTCCTCAACACGATCTCCACGTCACCCTCTCACCGACGAACCACTCATCGCTTATTATTTGGATTCCACTCGGTTAAAGGCCTAGCGTGCGATGTCGTTCGGCGGTCTCCTCAGTGTATGCCCGATTCATCTCCATTTTCTCCCATACATTTGTTGAGAGATCAGCCCTCATCTGTTGGTTTATTCCCACCTAGTTTCTTGTTGCTTATTCTTTCTGGCCGCCTGATCTTAAGTATAGAGCGAAGGCAGCTGTTGATGAAAGTCTGTAACCTGTTTGAAATCCGTAGAAATAAACACCACTGCTACCGAAACTTTAAACCTCGCCTAGTTAACTAGCTCGCTAGTTTTCTAGCCGGTCCCAAGCCCAGGTAAAGAGGGAGGGTTGGGCGTGGGACTAGCAACCCCACACCACTAAATCTTTCAAACCGCTAGAGAAACTTCAACGTACAAAAACTTCAAATATTTACCATTACAATCTTAAATTTTTTATAGGTGTCGGAAACGTTTGTTTCCACGTTTCGACTACCTGGAACCCTAAGAGTTTACGATTAGTCTCCATATCCCCTACGTTATAGCCTCTAGTTAAGAAAGTGGTCCTTTCATTTTCATTCTGTCACTGAAGGATTATTCTTGTCTGTTAGATAGACCTGACGCACTACTTGCTGGGTATCAATTAGTGTCCTTGATCGGAAGTGCCTCGATCTTGCCTCAAGAAGTTTGAGTTTATTGGAAATTCTGTCAAAAGCTTTCCTTCATACCTTAACCGATTTTCTAATAGTGATTTTAGGGAGATTTTCCAGAAGCATTATCCCGATAAGATAACTAACTAGATCGAAGTCACGCCTGTCACACGAAAGGAAGAAATGACCATGATTATTAAACACTCCAATGAATACAGCAAGAAAGGACTGAAAGTGCCTAGCATTCTAGTTAATTTCCAACAAAAGACGTTTGAAGCCAAAGAAACTGCAACCCATTTGTCTATGCGTAGGTTACTCTTACCCATCTTGAGAGGTCATGTTAGATTACGCTTGGCGTACTTATTGCTAATGCCTTGTTCTCGTGCTTTTATTGCAATTTTTACTGTTAAATATGTGCCCAGTATTAGTATATATCGCGCTTACCGTCTTTCTGCTGCTGACATTAATTATCGCAGAAGATATTTGTCCTACTAGTTAGCTTACTTTTATTTGAAAACACACGTTACATTGTGAAATACTGTGGGTTTAAATAAGGATGAGTATGTGGTGCTAGTTGCAGTTGATGAGTCTAAAGAGTTGTCTATCGCCGATGCTTTTTCCATCTCTTTCGCCTTTGTCACCCACCACTGTTCACGGTCCTTACGGAGACTTTTCGTAAGTATCCTTTTGTGCAGCTTTCGCTCCTCATTGTATTCGGAGCTCGCCGGAATAAGTCTTCTAGCATCTATCAGTTTGGATGAGGCAGTCGAAATCCAATGGTTTTTACTTACCTTTGGATTTACCTTATTTGCAGCTTTTACAGCTGTATCTATGGCTGACTGAATATTCTTCCAGGCTTCTTCAGGGTGAGCGCAGCTGTCGAACTCAGATATGTGTTTAGCTAGTTCTTCCTCAAATAGGGACTTAGTTTCCAGATCGAGCTGGGGACGTGATGGGTTTACCGCCAGCTGTTTCCTACGTCCGTTCAGTCGTAAGCACACACGAGCGCGGACCAGTGCGTGATCGGTATCTACACACGTGTTCCAGAAGGAGCGACAATTTCCTACCGACCCACGCCAACGATAGCTTATTGCTATGTGGTCTATTTGTGTCCAGCGTTGGTTTGATGATGGGGGTCACCAGGTCAAACAGTGTCTCTCCTTGTGTTTGAAGTTAGTGCTTACAAGAAACAAATGATTATCTGAACAGAACTGTAGGAGACGGTCACCGTTGTCGGTTCGCTGGCACGGAATTACGTATGTGCCACCGACATTCTTCTCAGATTGACACGATTCCCCTACTTGAGCATTAAAGTCGCCAGCTAAAACGACTATATCTGAGCGGTTAGCCTTTCGCAGCAAACTAGACAGCTTTTGGTAGAACTCATCCTTCGTTTCATCCGAACTGCAGTCAATGGGGGCGTAGGCGGAGATTACGAAAAGGCATCGGCGAGTAGTGCAGTCCTTTCTCCTTTTCACTGATCCGTTCAGACGGACAGCACACATTCGGCTACCTACCGGGATCCAGTCAAGTAATGTCTTTTCTGCCCTAGTACTCAGAGCTATCCCAACACCAGCTAATCCTCGTGAGCTAGCCGTCGCATCTCCTGACACCCTCAAGGTGAATTTTGCAGATTCATCCTGTTGGCCAGGTGGGGTTAGGTGAATAACCACACTTGGGTCTTGTATGCGTGTTTCTGAAACACAACATACATCAATGGCTCGGGATGCCAGAGTCTTGGCTAGTGATGCTTGTTGTTCTATTTGGCAAAGTGTCCTAACATTAAATGCTCCAATATGAAATTGGTGGCGTGGCTTTAGGAGACTATCGATGGTGTTTTTTTGGCTTCCGTCGTTTTCAGTGCACACAGAGTGAAGAGCCATCAAGTAGAGGAGTTGCATAAGTAGAAAGAAGGCAAGATAATAGAGATGAAGACAAAGATGAAAGAGGATTAGAGAGGTTTCGCGTACACTTCGGATTGTGAGGGCGACTGTTACTTCCCGGCTGCCCACACCGTGGAAGTTGGTTGCATGACCGCAGAGCCCAGGGGACAACTGCTTGAGGCCGGTCACACACGGCCTGTTTTTGTTTGTTCTTTTTTATTTGGTGTGTCTCAGTAGCATATTTATCACTTCTGCCCTGTGACACGGCAGCAGGAAGCGCGGTCGTTGTTAATCCGGGCCCCGACCGATCCGGCACGATATTTTGTGATTTACTTTGGGTCATAGCATTGGGTTGGGTAACTGCTTTTTGTCTAACCGCTATCCAAACAACCTTTCTGGCATGGTAGGACCTCAAGCGACATAAGTTCCAGCCAGTATAGCTTGTCGGGTCATTGCGGTGTTTAAGCCCGACCACCACGTAAAGGTAGCAGCTTTCGGCCGGGTGGTCAAACAAAAACATGGCATCAATCCATGAAATCCTTGACAGTTAAACTGAGTCAGGTAGGGAGATGCAGACTTCCGGGTTGGTGCCCTCGGGACTCTAAGAATCAATGGCTGGAGACAATAGGTGAAATGGCTCAAAATCGTTGTCAATGGCTTACGAAGATGCATTCAGTCTCTGTAATCTTTCATATTCCTTTCTACCATTACTGATTCTGTTTCACTCTTATACTTGTCAAAACTCTATTGATTCTCTTCACTCATTTTCTTGTCTACCTTTGTGTACTATTTGGAACGTAGCAACTCGAACTGCTGCACTTCGGTGCCAAGTTCTATGGTAAATTCAGACAGACTCAGATTATTCAATGATGCACACACCAACATTGAGTTTACTATGGAACATGAAAGAGACGGAAAGTTCCATTTCCTTGACATTGCCATGCAACGCCTAGAAGACGGTAGTCTTCAGAAGTCAATTTACCGAAAGCCTACTTGGAAAGGACTATACTTACATTTTAATAGCTTTTGTCCAAATAGCTTTAAACGCGGACTAGTCAAGACTCTGTACTATGGAGCGAGGAGAATATGCTCTATAGAGAAATTAGAGAAAGAATTTGAGTTCCTTGAAAAGATATTGAAGAGCAATGGGTACCCTCAAAGGTTCATCAACAAGTATGGAAGATGTGAAGTCACAAATGTAAAACAAATACAGTGGGTAAAAAGCCAATCTACATTCAACTTGATTATAAAGGTGAAAACATTGCAGCAATGGTCAACAGAAGGTTGAGTACGTCACTAGCCAGAGCATATCCTGCAGCTAAGCTCGTCCCCGTTTATCAAACAACTTGTTCTTTGGTGCAATCAAAAATCGATATATACCCTTTTCATGTTAACTACAACTGTATATACAAATCTACATGTATCTGTGGGAGCAGTTA